AAAATATAACTCTGTCCGTGGATTATATCTGGGATTTATTTTTACTAATGGAACAGACGATTCTGAACAAATCCAATCACCTTTCTAATACATACACATACACATTGAATTACAAATAATAATCTATAGAAAACAAGAAAAAATTCACTTACTGGAAGAGTTGTATCAGTTTTTAAACAAGAATTTGCCAACGTATTCTAGATAGATAAACAAACTGTTGATCTATTCATTATTGAAAAGAGAACATTGATTATTGAAATTTTTTGATATAGCGTATGACGAATCCAAAGCTGCAGAATCTGCCTGTTTGCTCTGACGATCGTCGGCGGGAAACTTATTGATTCAGACAAAATTGGAATTTCTTTTTGCAAAATATAACTCTGTCCGTGGATTATATCGGGGATTTTTTTGAAAAACTTTTTTCATCGAGGGAAATTTTCAAATCTCCCGGCTAGATTCCGCACCTCTAGATAAATAACAAAGTGTTTCGCCTAAAACGTACCTTCATAATGTCACTCGTATAAGAATCATTTCCATCATCACTCTCTGATGAGTTTGAATTTCGTTTTTGTCTTTTCATTTTATCTGATACGGATAGTGCAATTTCGCCAGGTAATTCTCTCTTCATTGTTGTAACAGTGGTAGTTACTGGCTGTGATTCTTGTTGTTGACTATCTTTTCTCGCTGAATATTTGAGAGTATAATCCTGATAGGATAATAATTTTTTCTCTTTTAATGAATCTGTTAACCATTTTGTTCGAATAATTACTGGGCCTTTACTAATATCTCTGATATTTAAGATTTTTAAGACAGATTTTACATCAAATTCATCATCGACAACTACGTAAGGTTCTTGTGAATAATTTGTTGATTCACAGAGCGTTAATTGAAATTGTTTAAAAGCGGATTTAAATACATCTAAACGCCCTTTACCAATTTTATTTGGTAATAAATAAATCAAAGATTTTGAAATCGATAAACAGTTGTCATCAGTCAACATCTTCGTAACAATAATCTGAAGTATCATGAAAAAAGTGAAGTAATTTCTACTTTAGGGAAACAAGGTATACGTAAATAAGAAAACTAAGCCAGATGTAAACTATAATGTATAAATATTCTATGCATGCTAATCCTAAACAAGTGACGTAATCCAAGCTCTTTGTTGTACCTCTTTTTTTCTGAAGTTCATACGATCTTGTTGTTCATTTTTTAAATTTTCTTATTTTTTGCTATTTCTGATTAGCCTGACATTAATCAATACGTTGGCTTACCCAACAACAATTGTAATGAACCCTAGGTATGAGACTGAACAGAAAAATTTCGGAGAAGACTATCCGTTAATTTTGAAAAAGTACAAAATGACGCCACGGTCATATCTCCTAGATCGATAGAAGTCTAATATAAGGAAAAAACGGATTAATCGCCATATTTTGTGAATCTGACGAAGAGAATTCATTGAAGTCTTTATTTTTTGAAGTGAAAGATAAATTTCGACATTTTCTCTTACCACTTTGATATTGTAGAAGATACCGTCAAGTCAAATCGTCTTTCGCCCAATTATTATTTTCTTTAAATACGCAAATTCGACTTTTGCATAATACGATCCCCAGGGCCATATAACTCCAAGGCACAAGGAAAATCGACTTCTAACTCGTTGTTTCCTTTTAGCTTCAAGGACTGTTTACGTCAATTCGCATCGATTCTGGCTCATAGGAGTTGCTACTTGCAGCTAAAAGGAAATAACGCTTTTAACTTGAAGTGAAAACGCTACTCAACTTCTATTGTTTCTTCTTTGATAAACAGAAAAGATAACAAGCCATTGGTGCCAACCCGCCATGGTCTCGTTATCTGTACCTCAGTGATGAAAGATGCATAATGGCACTCCCGCTAGCTAAAAAGAATGAGCAGAAATTTAGACAGGAATTTTGATCTTTTTTCCGCTTCCATTCTATGCGTGTTATTCTGATATAAAAATTTGTCTGAAGTCAAGGTATAAGCTAAAATGAATATGACAACGACACCGTCAACGTTACCATATGAAGGAAGTCGCTTCAATTTTGATGATATGTCGGGATACGCTCAAAAGTTGACAGCATGTCGCAGTTTCTGAAAAATCGGCGATCAGTCTCGAGAAATCGGCGTTTTTTTATAATGTCGTGATTTTTTACCCCTCGCTAAAATAGAAAATTTTCTAGGTTATCAAGTGTGCTGAATACGACAAAGCACTTTTCTTTAACTCTAAACAAACTTTAATTTTTTTTATCGGTGATATGTTTTTCCGAATATTTTTACTTTTACCCGTTTTGTCAAGAAAACACATTCATACGGATAGCTTTTGAGCTCAAGTTTTTGTATTTTCAAGAGCAGTAACATGTTATTTATATCGAAAGGACAAAAGACAGGCACATTCTTTCAGGGCTTCTGTTACTCTATCAAAATTGTTAGCAGCATCGTTATATGCATATATCGATAACGGTATACATCAGCCGATCAAATATTTTTTGAATTTTTTTTTGAGATAAATTACGAATATAAAATTTTGAGCTTAAAATTTACGTAAATTACATTTCGTACGTCTTCAGGATATGTACAATTTGATGCGCTCTACAGAATGATGAAAAAAACGACGGTGATTACTCCCCTTAAATGTTCGCCGCTACTCCATCGCACTTTGTTATTGACAAGAGATCGCATGCCCCGAAGCAAGACATTTTGGGAAACACTCTAAGACGTGTTTTTGTAGATTTTGTCATCTTGCAAAACCCTATAATCAGAGTTTAAAAAAGAGGTTTTCAAAATCTTTTATTTACTCATAAAAACTAAAGCAGATGCTATAACATAAACATGGCTGGCATTTTGTCTGCTTTTTCCCCTTTTTTTTCAGCTTTCTTTCCTTCTTTCAAGTGTTTTTGAATTCAACATTGAACAGCCATTGCCGTTTTTAATACGACATCTTGACAATGACTCATTCTAATAAGTTGCCCTTATATGATCAAGTTAATTCATTTATTTATTGCTAGCAAAAGTGAGAAAGATATAATAAGAAAAAGAAGAAAAGAGAAGAATGATAGTGATGAAGAAGAAAACGAGGCGGAGAACGAAGAAAAGAATTTCGTTTGATCTTATCCGTAATGTTATTCTATTTAAATCCAAAACCATTATCAAACACGTACAAATTAATTTTGTTTTCTTTATTTGATTCCTTATGGAAATGCGTATATGCAGAGTGTTCTTTCTCAAATGAAACATTTGTTCAATGATAGTCTTAATCGTATGTCGACAGAATTAGTTTTGGCAGAGCTGAAAATACGTCTCAATAGTTCATTGTTTTGTACACACATGAATAAACATCTTGTATCACAAAAAGACATTAACCTCAATACACTCGGTCAAGAAGTATTGGTTCAAAAATCGACGTGTTCAGTAGGTTAAGTCATTTGTTGATGTTGCTGAAAATAAATAGATTTTTTTCTACTGGAACGTGGATATGCTGAATATATGCTGAATATAATAACACTAAAAAAATTTCTTTTCCGCTTTTTTGGACTTTTAGAGTTGGCAACTTTGGATATAAAGGCTAATGCACCTTGAATGATCGGTCGTTATAACGGTTTTTGATTGCAAATAAACTCTTTAAAGTTTATGAAGGAAAGATTAAAAAAGAACCGTAACAAAATTTCTTGTACTTTATAAGTAATATCGCAAGTGGACTTTTGAATCGTTGACTCAGGATCTTGCGATCAAAACTTTCGAGCTCTTGATGAAAAATTTTCTTTACGATTTGTTTTTCATATATGACGGTCATAGCCATCGGACATACGTCTATAAGTTCTATTAGAACATAGTATTTGTGTTTTAAATCAGAAAAGAATTTTCATTCAGGTAAAAAACTCGATGGGTATTTTATTGACGATACAGGATCGTGTAAATCAAGGAGATCCGAACAATTGTATTTACTTTTTTAGTTGCATGAATCTTGCGCCTTTATTTACTTCTTACTTTTCTTTACATTATTTTGATAATGATTGGAAAAAACAGTTAACAAGCACGTACCACCTGCTTCAAAATAGAAACTGTGATAGATAAAGAGAAACAAATATTTACCAAAAGACCAAACGTGAAAATAAACATATAAATTAAATAACACGTGTTTTAAAAATTGACATATTCTTTAACAGCTTTTGTATAGAATCTCATTGTTAGTGTTAAAGCTACTGGAAGTATATTTCATTCGTCGAACGTATGAGGAAAATGCTAACTCCGTTTTATATCTTTTGATTATTACATGTTAATCATGTCCTAATCATGGAAATTTATTGATACAGTACAAGGGATACAGTATCCATATGAGGAAGAATGTTATCATTTTCGATAACTTTTACGAAATTTTTCATCAAATGATTTGTTTTTTTCATTAATGTCCTCTCAATGTTCTTATTTTTGTTCCAAACGGTTCAGATTATATTATTAATTTCGTAAATTTATTTGCATATTTTCGATGAAATTGCGATTGAATCTGAAAAAAATCATGCGCTGATTAATTGTTCTGATTAGTTGTAACTATCGACAACATTGGATAAGTGTTATAAACTTCGTAGTAGAAAAACAGTTAACAGTTAGAAAAACAATGTTAATTTTTACTCTTTTCTAATACATAAGTGACAAAGTGGCAAGATCAATTGAGGAGTAGACTACACTGGATAATGCATTAATAGCAAAAAACAGTCAAAAACACTATTTCTAGTTTACTTGTTAATCGTGACATTTCTGATACACTTTTGTAACAACTACTTACATTTTTCTGAATTCACTACCCTTTACTCTTAATGAGTTATGTAAATATTCGCCAATGCAACTTTGACATTTCGGCGATAGACAATGCACCTCTCATTGTTTCTCGTTAGGATCTACCTTTTAACTCCTGGTCCTTACGGTCTGTATTATCTCCGCCCCCGTCCTCCCTAAAACGGCTCATATCTCACGTAAAATATTGCGTAAGCGAATGTTCGAATACGGTGATCGCATACGGACCACCGTAAATATATCGTTTTTTAATCGTTTACGTACTGTTTTGTCGGGTCTGCAGATTTGTAAAAACTGCTCATAATAAATAAGTGTTATATGGCTGTTGGCCGCTGTCATTTGTATAAGAATTGTTTCAACAGTTGTATTTTTGCATGTTCACACGTTCATCTTCTATCTGTCATCTCGTCTCTTTGTTGTGCTTTACACTTTTGTTTACATATAAGGTACATATAAGGTTCAATAACTTTCAATATATTCTGCAATAATATAGTTCATTCCAGACACAGCCTACGATCATATATGTTCCATCCTCTGATGACTATAGCTCTCATACATGAAAAAGTGCACGAAATATTCCAGATCGACGAAAACTGGCATTTAATTGTCCATTAACAGCCTGTTAACTGTATGCCAAATAATAGCCTGTTAATTGTGTAAAAATCGAATGAAAATTGTCATTTAACAGCCATTATAATGACAATTTTTTGACATTGAAATAACGGTGAAAATAATGCCAGATTATAGGCAATGTCTGAAAAATTGTCATTTTACGGACACCATTAAATGGCATTTTTGTCCATTTATTAGACCGCGTTAACTACTGCCAAATAAATGTGGTCGTTAAATGTCCGTTTTTTTTCCATTACAAAATGGCAAAAAACTGGTCATAAAATGGCATTTAACAGCCAATTTATGGTCACCAAGTCATTCACCGTTTTATTCTGCCGTCATGAATAGTGTAACTGACTCTAATTTTCCTAAAAAAATTTAAAGTGTTTCTCTTCTTCAATTATACGAGTCATAGAAACTTGCCTCGAAGAAGTGGTCTATGGTTCTTGATTCGATGCAGGTGATAGTACTATTATATAGTTCAGAAGATATTTTTTTGACATTTTCTAACGGTCTAACAATTGATATTTAACTGGCAAAAAAATGTGGCCAGTAGGGTTACTGGCAGCAGTTAAACGCCTGTTATTTGACCGTTTTTTGACATTTAAAAAAATGCGAAATAAATGCATTTAAACGTTTCTAGTTATAATGGCAAAAAACGGCCTAAAAACCGGATCAAATGTCATCAAAATGCCGTTTAAATGCTTATTACAGCGTATTAAATGGCATTTAATTGGCAATTAATTACACCGTTTTCGACGTCCTGGGATTAGAGCCCATCGGGTCCGGGTCTGAAAATTCTGAACTCATCGGATCCGGGTCCGAAGATTTTGAATTCAACGGGTCCGGATTCGGGTCAAATTTTTATTAGCCAGAAAAAAATCCACTATAAAAAATAATTCCATTATTTTTATTTTCGTTTATTTCTGTTCTTTTATTCAAAAAATGTTTAGCAATAAACTCATGATCTTTTTTTAGATTTTTGTATACATATTTTATTAAGTAAAGCAAAGAGAACGACTACTATAATATAAAATAGTTGTTATACAAAAGAAATAATGAAACTTTTTTAAATACATTTGTATTCTTCGACAGAAACTAATACGAACGAATTTGATTTAATTATTATAGAATTGCTATCGGACTATCGGATGACTAAAGAATATGTAGAATATGTTACTTATCGAACATAAAAAATGAAAAAAAAGGATATCCTATCTTTGGATCGATTATCAAATCCGAACTAGAATTTTGCATTATAGATCTCAAATGAGTGATTCGGGCGCGAATCACAAAGAATTAATTATTGGGTTCGGATCCGAGAATTTTGTTTGAGCGGGTCCGGGTCCGGGTCCAAAAAAATTTAACCAACCGGGTCCGGGTCCGGTCTGGGTCTGAATAAATTTTTATCATCGGGTCCAGGTCCAAAAATCATGGACCCGATGGGCTCTACCTGGGATGCACATGTTCGTCATCTGACTACATAGGATACGATCATACTACAGTGTTAACACGATTGAGTTCAGGCACACCGTAATTATCCTCAAATTTTCGCGCATCTATTTCAAAAAAATATTTGTTTTTCTGATATTGCCAACTAGATCTCTCGCTTTCTGTTTAACAGTTCGACGTTGATTCAATAACAAGCTGAAGAACGATGTTTGCGGTATTTGTGATTCACTAGCAACTGCTTTTTGGGACATAAATAACGTTCAGTACAATCATTACTTCACTATATCGACAAAAATAAATTGATTTAAACAGAACTCGAATATTTATTTGCTGTTTGTAACAGGAATGCCATCTGTTTCACTTTTTCTGTTTTTCTTTCTTGATTAAATGCAATCCCTAGGGAAACTCCTTGTATCCGACATCTTGAGTGAAGCGAGCCATGTTGTTTCAAGAACTTAGTTACAAGAAGTTCTACTAAGGATCACTTTTGATAAGTTTTATTTCCTATTAGTACCTCTGTAAAGTAAATTGATTCAATCAACATTATCATGCACAGAAGTGATTATTTATTAATCAATTAAGATTTATTAAAAGTAACAGATGAAAAATATTCATTTAAGAAACAATGTGCCTGTTATTAGTTTGTTTTTCTGTTATGTCTCTCTTTTACTGTAATCGCTGCAAACGCGTCGATCTTCTTCATATTAAAACGAACAAATAAAATGGTCAAAGCATAAAAACAAAAAGAATTTTCTATTTCGAAAAATCTTCAGCAAAGTTGTTCTGATAGAACGAACCAACAAACGAAGTTACAGACTCTACGGTGCACTATCATGGACTTAATACCACCCACAAGATTAGCAGCTTAAATTCATTCTACTCTTACTAACGCGTCGGTCACTCCGGTTGTAGCGTACGCTAGCGCCCTCTATAGTTAAACATAGCGCCTAAATATTCTGTGGTTTTAATTAATTTATTTTCCGTTCCTGAGCTTTAATACTAGAATAGTACGATTTCATTGTAATTCACTTTTCGAAGGTTAAGGAAGGGAAAAAAAAATGGCTACTTAATTGTATGATCAACAAAACGTCGTTTGTTTTTGTTCGTCTTTTTTCTTGTACAGAGCGCGCATTCTCTTCCAATATATTAATTCAATTAATTAAAATAATAATTTCTAAAAAATATGTATTCCAGCTAGAAAATACGTAATGTTTTTACCCCCAATCGGTCAACCGCCTCATAATTTTGGAGGTAATGGAAATACAGCAAATCAACAACAATCGCAACAGCAACCGTTACAAAATGCTCAGCAAACGACTTACCAAACACCTCCGTCACAGCAACAGGGTCCACCTGCACAAATGTCTCTTGTTCCACAGCCATCACAAACTCCGCCTCAAAGTGGCGGTACGTACTTTATGTGTTCAAAAAGTCATTCATTACTCGTATTCTAAGTGTTAAACAAGGTTGTTGAAACTATTTTAGCATGTTAATCAATATTTTTAACAAGTTATATAGCCATGAGGTCTTTAATTTGTTTGTTTTCCAGTAATGTGAAAAGTTCATGAAAGATATCTCATGTATAAAATTTTTCATCGTTCTAGCTCAAACGAAATATCCGTTATATTTACATGTTTTTCTTTCCTTTTTTCTGTAGGTATGGGCATCTTAACTATGTTAAACCCTCCATTAGATCTTTCTCCACCACCTCGTCCAGATTTTGGTCGTGAAGGTCGTACAATCAAATTACGTGCCAATCATTTTTCTATTCGTATTCCTCCTATTCTTATTCAACACTATGATTTAAATATTCAACCTGATAAATGTCCAAAACGTGTTAATCGTGAAATCATCGATACAATGGTGAATAAATTTCAAAATATTTTTAATACACAACACCCAGCATTTGACGGAAAACGAAATTTGTACACAAAAGATCCGTTACCTGTTGGACGTGATAAAATTGAACTGGAAGTCACTTTGCCTGGACCGGGTGAAGGACGAGACAGATGTTTTAAAGTGCAAATGAAATGGATGGCGCAAGTTAGTTTAGTTAGTTTACAAGATGCACTACAAGGACATGGACCACCTGTGCCAAACGAAGCTGTATCTGCTCTTGATGTTATTATGCGACATTTACCTAGTATGAAGTAAGTTGATCAAAAATTAAACTGAAATTAATGGAAAAAGACAAGTAAATGGAACAATTTGTTTACTTTTCTTTTACCAACCAAAAAATTCGCTTTTTGATGAATAGCAACGTGATCAGAGTCCACGAACAAGTTTTGTTAAGTTCGTTTTTCAGAATAAAATAATCGACTTTTATTCGTTTTACTTAGATACACTCCTGTTGGTCGTTCATTTTTTTCTCCACCTGATATTCAGTACAATCCATTGGGTGGAGGACGAGAAGTATGGTTTGGTTTTCATCAAAGTGTTAGACCATCATATTGGAGAATGTCGTTGAATATTGATGGTAATGTTTAATGTTATACTTTTTCTACAAGAAAGTTACAGAACATTTTTTTTTAGTTAGCGCAACAGCATTTTATAAATCGCAACCTGTTATTGACTTTTTGTGTGAGGTATTAGATATTCGAGATATAGCTGAACAACGGCGCCCATTAAATGATGCGCAACGTGTCAAATTTACAAAAGAAATTAAAGGTAAATATTTTTACGTCTCTCAAACTTCCACAAATGATCGTATGGTTTGGGACTCTAGTTATTAGTGCAAAAGTAAAGCGAAAAACTAATAAGTTTTTGGTTAGATTCTCTGTATGTTGTCCTAAAAGACAAATTTGATGACCATCTTTCAGAAAGATATGACTACGTCAATGACAAAAAAAGATTGTGTTTAGATGATGAGTATCTTAATTCCCTCTCTCTGCTATTTGATAGGCAATCAGTCTGAGAAAAATCAGCAAAAATCATCTAGAAAAGGTAGTGTAGTTAAAAGTGACGCCGCTCACAAACATTTTTATATGATCTGCTTTTGAATTGCTAATTTTATTCAAAAGTCATTGTATGAGCTTATTTGATTATATCTAGTCGTATAGTATCTCTGAGACGAAGCAATTTTTTTTTGTATTGCTGCCGCTGCTGCTCCTTGCGAGATAGGAATAGAACATTTCGTTAACGGGGTATTGTTTGTTGATTCGAACTGATCATTTGTGGAAGTTATTCGTATCAGTTTTATTGTCAATTTGTTAACTATTTCTCTGTTTAGGTTTGAAGATAGAAATAACCCATTGTGGTAATATGAAACGTAAATATCGTGTTTGTAATGTAACAAGAAAACCGGCACAATATCAGACGTAAGAATTTTGAGATTTTTTAAATTTTTTTCCCTTAAACTAGCAACATTTTTGGTTGGGTTTAGATTTCCATTGCAACTAGAAAGTGGTCAAACAGTTGAGTGTACAGTAGCGAAATATTTCTACGAAAAACATCATATGAAGTTACAGTAAGTTAATATCCAAAATGTAGAAATAGTTCGGTGTTGTTTGAACTGTAATTTTTTCCATTTAGATATCCACATCTTCCTTGTTTACAAGTTGGACAAGAGCAAAAACATACTTATCTGCCACTTGAAGTATGTATCCTTCTTTATTTATTTAATAATTAGTCTAGAGTCTGAAAAAAATAGAGTCTCATTTAGTAAAGAAATTAATCATTAATCGTTTTGTTTTTTTCTTACCTCTTTTAGGTTTGTAATATCGTACCTGGTCAACGTTGTATTAAAAAATTAACGGATATGCAGACATCGACAATGATTAAGGTATGTTGTCTATATGTGACCTCAAATAGTGGTAGTAACATATAGCAATAGGTAGCTGTAGAAAAATAATAGAAGCTCTATTTTTCTAGTTTTAAGCTTTATATGCTTTTTGTTATTATTTTAGTGGAGTGAGGTAGAGTTGTTGTTATACATTAGTAAATAAGGCATATATTTTTCTTTCTTCTTGATAAGCGCATGAGTCGCATGTCTCTGTAATTTATTTCTTATAATGTTGTTAATGACAAAAATATTTTTTTGAGTGCTTATGATGACTATAATATATGGTACGTTTTTCACCACATATTCTTCTTTAAATATCATGAGTCTCAATAATCTTCTATTGATATATTACTAAAAAATAATCTTTTTTGCGTCAAAAACAAAATTGTTTAGTAATTTTTAAGTGATTTTGAATGAATTAAATGAATAATACAAAGAAAACATCTTATTAGGCATATTCACCCGTTGTATGATAGTTAATTTTAAATATTTCATTAGATTATCCATTTTATCGATAATTTTGACCTCGACTATTGTTTCATTTTCAAAAAGTCTTACTTTAGAAAGTATTCATCTTTCGAATGAGTGCTAAGGCTCCTGACATAGATGGTCAGTGTTTCATTTGCCCTTGAATCATAAAACATTGAAGTACAAAATGATTGGTGATGGTATGCGCATATCTCGTTTTTTTTGTCTATGTTCTTGTTTGTAGAGTCAAACGGAAATACCTCAGGTAACAACTTTCCTACCATACGCACACAAACACACAGGTTTTTTTTTCTGAAGTTTGCTTTGTTAAATAATCAGGCTTTTCACAAAGAAAATAGGAAGGATACGTGTGTGTGTTTGTTGGCATCACACTATGTTAAAAAACATACACACACACCATGAAAGATAAAAATAACTTTTCTCTCTGTCTCTCTTTCGCTGCTTGTGTACGTGCGCGCGTAATAATTTGTGTGTTACAAAAATAACATAGTATAGAACAAAAAAAAACAGAGATTTGCGCATATCCTGTCATTGCTCATAACAATAAAAGATGTGCTTATGAGTCAATTATATTTATATATCATTCAAATAAAATCTCGCACGTAACTATCTCATATTTTTCATAATATTTGCAACAAGGAACAATAATAAATAACAAACTCATTTACTATTCCTCTTTTTCTCTCTGTCTAATCAATTTATTTAATACAATATTTGATTATTTTGTGTTCTCTTTTTATTTTCTCTTAGGCTACAGCTCGTTCGGCACCAGATCGTGAAAAAGAAATTAATAATCTAGTAAGTTAATAGACAATTGAAATGTAATCCATGAATGCCTTCTATGTTCAACTAAAATCCGCAATTTAGAAGTCCTTAACTTGCCTGTTAAAAGTAGACAAGTCTTATGGAGGAGAGTTGCTGTTCGATTTTGACTTAACACCAAGTATAGCAGATTGTAACACATGCGTTCAATTTGTTATATGAAATTACTTTGTTTTTTGTTTTCTTCAAACATTTATCTCTAACTCTTTCATTTAAGGTTCGTAAAGCTGAATTTAATAACGATGTATATGTAACGCATTTTGGTATATCAATTATAAATCAAATGACAGAAGTACCAGGAAGAGTGTTGACAGCACCCAAAATACAATATGGAGGCAGAGTAAGTAGTGTATCATCTTACTAACAGCTTTTTTTTTAATGATAAGCTACTTTTCTTATTCTAGACAAAGGTTATCGTAACTCCAAATCAAGGTGTGTGGGATATGCGCGGCAAACAATTTCATACTGGAATTGAAATTAGAACATGGGCTATTGCTTGTTTTGCACCACAACGAAATTGTAATGAAGCGGCGTTAAGGTAATAATATATCACTAGTTGAAATAAAATATTTTCTATTAATGTTTTTGTTACTCTTGTAGAACATTTACTCAACAATTACAGCGTATATCAAATGATGCTGGTATGCCAATTGTTGGTCAACCCTGTTTCTGTAAATATGCAACAGGAATCGAACAAGTTGAACCAATGTTTAAATTTTTAAAAACAACATATCAGGGTCTTCAACTCATTGTTGTTGTCTTACCTGGTAAAACGCCTGTCTATGCTGAAGTCAAACGTGTTGGTGATACTCTTATCGGTCTTGCTACTCAATGTGTTCAAGCTAAAAATGTTAATAAAACAACGCCACAAACTCTATCAAATTTATGTTTGAAAATTAATGTGAAACTTGGTGGTGTTAATAATATTTTGGTACCAAGTGTTCGTCCGATAAGTGTATTTCGTGAACCAGTCATATTTATTGGAGCTGATGTTACACATCCACCAGCTGGTGATCGCTCAAAACCTTCCATTGCTGCTGTACGTATTTTATTTCATTTTTTTCTCGAAAGTTCTTTTCTACAGCTGAATGAATCCCAAAGACAAATTATCATTATTGATGTTAAACTATTTTCAGTTAAGATTCAACTTATTCACTTTTTTCCTTTAGTAAAATATTTCGGTTATTGTTTCAGGTTGTTGGTTCGATGGATGCTCATCCATCTCGATATGCAGCTACTGTTCGTATTCAAATGCATCGTCATGAAGTTATTGCTGAACTATGTACAATGGTTCGAGAATTATTAATCCAGTTTTATAAATCAACTCGATTTAAACCAGCTAGAATTATTTTATATCGAGATGGAGTATCAGAAGGACAATTTGCTCACGTATGGTTATAAAAATAACTTCCTATCTTCTCTATCGTTTTTATGTGTTTATAGGTATTGGCTCATGAACTGATGGCTGTTCGAGAAGCATGTGTTCGTTTAGAATCCTCTTATCAACCAGGAATTACATTTATTGTTGTGCAAAAAAGGCATCATACACGATTATTTTGTGCTGATAAAAAAGAGCAGGTAAAAATAAAATAATATAGTACATAGATACAAGTTTTATACTCTTGGAAAAATCAACTATGCAAGTGTCATTTATTCGGGCACAACTGAGTCAAATTTGAAAAAACTTAACACCTTATAATATGAGGTTGGGCGCGCGATCCTAGGAGCGATGGAAGGGACTTCATACGAAAAAGTTTGCTCTGAACTCGGCTCCCTTTTACGTCAAAAAAGATGAGAATTCAAATACTGTAAGATATGGCATGTTCGATGTTTATCGACTATGTCTTTTCTACAAAGTGATAAAAGGACAAGTACCCCTTAGAGATTTATTACCGCAACATTTCATTACCTGTAAATTATCCATTGCGCAGCCAAGCACGAGGGCTGCTACCGTCTCATCATGGTGGTCTGCTTGTACTCAGGAATAGTTTTATACCATCTAACCATTCAATTATGGGACAAACTTATCAATCGATGTAAAATATTCGAAAACCTCAGCAACGTTTAAATTTAAAATGAAACAACCTTTTTTACAGATATTGGATCTTCCACCTGTGTCTGAAAGAATTTTGGAAATAGACTTTTCACGCTTTCGATTGGGTTTCACACAATTGAATAAGGATTTGGCTAAAAGACATATAGTGACTACCCCTGAGTGCGAGTGCGAATGTAAAAGAGAATCATCATCTCACTTTTTCTTTTTTTGTGCAAAGTATACAGTACAACGTTCCGAACTATTAGAAACGTTTCAGTCTATACTTCAAATAACCGACATAACAATAAATCATTTACTTTTTAAAAACAAAGACATGGTCTCTCTCGAAAAAGATAAACTTAAAATCCTATATCTTTCTGTTTTAAAATTTTTGAAGGATGCAGGACATTTTCGCCGGATCCAATGATGTGCGACCTTTCTTTTCCCGCCAAAGTAGAACAGTACTCCCCAGCAGATTCCTGAAGACTCCTGAAGCAAGAGAAAAAAGCGTTTCCTGTTTGATAAGATAACTCCTTTTCCAACTTTACAACACTTCTAATTATTTCTTTCTCTTCTCTCTTTTTCTTGTTTTACGTATTGTTCTTTTTTTCTTGTTGTTATTATTGTCACATCTGTTCAATTTCAACCAACATGTAATGAGCCAGCTCGATTTGTTGGAAAATAAAAAAGTTTAAATTAAATTAAGTTTTATCTGGTATTTTTCAACTGCTAAATATAAATTGATCCTTTTCTTATTAAATTATCATTTCTCTATTAATCCTATCAGCTATTTTTTATTTTTATTTAGTGTGGCAAAAGTGGTAATATTCCGCCTGGTACAACCGTGGACGTAGCCATTACTCATCCGACCGAATTTGATTTTTATCTATGTTCACATGCTGGAATACAAGGCACCTCTCGTCCAAGTCATTATCATGTATTATGGGATGATAATCATTTTTCAGCCGATGAATTACAAGCATTGACATACCAACTATGTCATACCTATGTGCGATGTACAAGATCTGTTAGTATTCCAGCTCCAGCATATTATGCACATTTGGTCGCATTTAGAGCAAGATATCATCTAATTGAACGAGAACCAGAAAGGTATGTTAGAAAATAATTATTTTAAATGAAACATATTAATTTATTCTAAAAATTGTGCACAAATACTAAAATGATTTACTCGAACATTATTATGCATACGACATAAACTGGCTAACATTTTTGTTTTCTTTTTCTAATTATAGTAATGAGGGTTCCCATCAGAGTTCGAATGGTGATTCGAATGGTCAACAAGCTATCCAATTAAGTCGTGCTGTTACAGTTCATCCAGATTCAGCTCAAGTTATGTACTTTGCTTAACAACAAATTTTTATTGTGCATTTTTCTCTCTCTTCATCTTACCACTGTCTGCGTAAACGGTCGTATATAATCCAAAAAACATGCATTTCCTATTCTATCGTTAGTAGAATTTTTCTCATTTAGTTCAATTCTCTGTGTGTGTAATGAATTTTTTTCTTTTGGCTACAATGTTTGATAGCTGTGTGTGTGTGTGTGTATGTGTGTGTGTGCGCGCGCGTGTGTATGTGTGTGTGTGTGATTTTGTGTTTATGTAATTTAATATGATTTCTTTTTTCGATGCAATATGCTAACGCAAATGGAATGTGTAAGAACTCTTTACAAAACCGGATAAAACCGTCCTTTGTGGTATGTCTGATTTTTAGCAAAAGTAGAATGAGCGTATGGATTTTACGTAAAGATAATTCAGAATGTATTATTATTTTTATTATTTTTTTCTCGATTCTAATGGAGTCATTTTTATTGCATAGAAGAAGAATGCGGAGATGAACATCAGCGACAATAAGTCTAGTCAGTGTATTCTGAAACACTTTTAATGGGTATATGTTGCCATCAAAAAGTATAACAATCTTTAGTAACTGTTAATTTTTACTCAAAACCATTTGCTCATTTTATGTTTCGTTAAAATCAGACAATTCGTCCTCTATGTACTTGTTCGTTCGTTTGCTAATCTTTGTACATTTTGTTAAATGTATGTTTTACTGCCATTTTCTACCTTTCTCATTCTTTGTGCACAGCAATAATGCCTAATCTCTCTTTCTATAGCCCGCATGCATATACAACTACTCATAGGTGCAATAGACAGGGTGCTATGAGCTGTTGTGTTAACAGTGCAATCTCTTTCGCTCATGAAAACCAACAGTGCAGTGCGTGTGCGCGTTGAACTCCCAAAATATCTGAAATGAACTTTTTTTTAATTGTTGTCTCATTAACAGTGTATATATAGAATTACGTCGTGTTTAGCATGCGCTCGCTGTATGTATTAGTGAATTTTCTTCTTTGTCTCACAATCTTTTCTCTTTTTATTTTTACCGATTTTTCTTCTTTCTTCTTCCACCTGACTGAAGATTATAGAGAAATGTGTCAACATTTTTTTGGGAACAGTGTTCTACTGGAAAAGAAACAATGATGCTTTTTCGAGCAAACGGTGAAGTTCGATAGTAGTATTTTATTGATCAGTGTGAATTATTAAGAAAAAGAAATACAGCGTTTTTTATCGCCAAAAATGTTTCATCTCCATATATCTTAAAAAACAACAATAACCAACTCTCATATGTATTTCTATTCTCATCTTCGACATTATATGTATTTATCTAACTGAGTGAGTTCTATGGTTAGTAATTGCGACTATCGATTTTTTTCTTTGTTGCTTGAAGTGACATGAATTTTCTTCTCATCTTTGCACGATAAATAAAATACTTCTTAACTCAGGTAAAACAAAAATAACAAACAATGAAACTATTATTGTTCGGTTTTTTAATGTTTATTTGTTCTGACAGTGACGTGGCATGACACTGGGCTGCTATCAGTGAGACGAAAAACAATTATTTTACATCGACATTCCCTCTTTTGTCAATCCTATAGTGCTATTATCTAACAGTGTGTATTCACCACCAACATCATTCGCAATTTTCCTTTGTTTGTTTTCCGTCCGTGTTTGTTTATTGCAATAAGAATGATTTATCATCTGAATCTTTACCATAATGCAAACTGTAGATGTATATGTGTGCATTTTGGTCTTTGTTTTTTTGTTTTCAAATTTTAAATCGTAGGTGAAACATTAAAATCGAATTAAAAACTGATGTTTCAATGCCTTAGAAATGTTTGGGCTTCCAACATCCTGCGAATGTGTCTTGCTACGATTTTGGATTTGAATGCGCTTTTATGTAGTGACTATATGTATTCCATGGATAATTTTCTTTTGTTGTTGTTAGTTTTCTCTTTCTCTCTTTCTTTCTTAGATTTGTCTGAATGATTTTTTTTCCTTTTATGTCTTTACGTATACAAGGCGAATGTATCTTATAACTAATCTAGTTATGTTGCCTCTTTCTCTTCTATACTCCTCATATATAGATATGTACGTTTGTGCGTGCGTGTGTGTTTAAATAGAATTTCACATTATTATTATCATTAAAAGCCAAATAATCATACTTTTAGAAAACTAACATATGAATAAAACAATCCTTTGGATCAATATGATTAATACCAGTCTATAAAAAGAACAATGGTTAAGTAGTTCACAACAACTGATAAGAGGATTATGCACTTTTATTTGAAGTAAAAATAGGATTTTCACAGCAGCTTTATATAAACTCATTTGACTATTTATTTATTTCGACGTTTCGAAAATTTATATTTTCATTTTCAAGGAGTGTACAAATAGAACATTATGACAGTGCGGTCTAGAGTTGTCAGCTACTTAGGTCAGAAAAGCGGAATAAAAGCGAACACGCATTTTTCACCGTATTAGTTCATTTTTCAAAAAAACTTTTCTAGCGGTTTCACTTAAGCAACAAAAAAGGAGTACAAAACATCATTTAAATCTCAATTTGAATCGACATTGACTTTTTGTGGATGCGCGTTTTTTATCAGCCGTCATAAATTTCAAGAGTTGTGTATGGCAGGGTAAAATTTAATTCGAAATTTTCCCGCCTACGACGGCACTTAATGGTTAAGATTTTCTGGCCGAATTGGCTTCTTTGAAGATTTAGTATTTTACTATTTTTCACACTCCCTTTCAGCTGCACTTGAGACAACCTAATGTTTTTCTGTTAGCGCTCACTCCCGGGGCCAATTTCTGATTTAGTTTTCAAAACAGTGCGCATCTGTCTTATAAAAGTTGCAAAAGCATTATTTTGGCAGGTTATTCAGCCGCCAAATTTTTTATAAGAAAATGTGAAAATCTTCATTGCAGGAAAAAGGACAAAAACAAAAAATTCTCGAAAAGCGGACAAACTGTGGACAATGGACACTTTATCTGTCCGCAAAATGCGAACCATCTGACATCTCTGGTGCGGTCATAATATTCTATTTGTACAACTAGCTCGTGTTGAATAAGCACTTTTCAGTGGAATGATTATCATGTTTCTACCAGAAATAGAGATACATTCTGCGGCACAACATTCTGATTATCCATCAACATAGCATATTATCTTATTTATTTAAATATAGTGTAGAGAACCCTCATTCCCCATACCTCAAAATGCCTATTTTAAATAAAAGTGGTTTTAAAAACAAAATATTTTTGCATCAAAATTGACTGAGAGAGACCCCTGCCTCTGATCTTTTGATTTCGAAACTCTTTCTTGTTAAATATTTTATATTACTCATCATTGGATGCAGTTTAACGTTTTTATTCTAAATATCATCTTGGCTTTTAATACAAATGCTTCTGGGCTGAGAAAAGCGGATATTATTTAAACTATGATTTTTTAGACAAAAACTGTCGTGCGGTCCAAAAATATTAATTTATGTTATCAATACAGATGTATAGAGGAAGATTCTGGTAAAGTTTGAGCCAGTCTGAAACTTTTCGAAATTATGTGCACTGATTATAGTAGACATAGATTTAAGAAAACTTTGTTAGGCTAATTTTTGACTAACTGTTTTTCTACAAACTTTGTCACTTGAAACAAAACTTTTCGCGTCATTGAATAGCGCATATACTGAATTATACTTCATCGTATTTGAATCTGTTTAACGTACACTTCTGGTGCAGAAAAAAGTGATCATAAAGTTTCTTGGCTTATGTATAAGCTTAACATTATTGTTAGTCTAGTTGAATAAGAAAGCTAGATTTTTCACAAGTAAATCAAGTACTTGCAAAGAAAGTTAAGTTTACACATTCACTGTGCATGTATCATATATGATTTAATTTAATTTTTGACCATAGAGTTCATATATCATATCTGATACATTTGCAAGATTAGACTAAATATGACTTTTTGTTGTGGACGTGAAACGTGTCTTGCAAATGAATCATATATAATACATGGACAGTGAATGTGCTAACTTTATCTTTTTGTCAAGTATTTGATCCAGTACTTGCTCAATCAATTCGTGAGTATCTGTGAGAGGTTCAACAAGTAAATCAAGTATCGGAAAGTGCTCTCATGTACTTGAAGCAATTTTACGAAAATACTTGCCAAGTTTGAGTAACATTTGTCAAGTGCTCGAAGAAATCAATAAGCAAACACCCGCTCGCAAGTACATCCTCTAGAGTGTGGATCTGCCAACGTTGATTTAGTCTTGTATCTCAGTCGATATCAGATCAATGAGAGCCAGAGATTAACGGTATAGAAGAACGCGCTTTACAAGTTTAATCAAGTTTTTTTTTCTCTTTGGAAGCGTGAAAACTAGAATTTTATAGAAAACCTATAGAAGAACATGTCAGAAAATTCTGGACAAAAATACTTTTTTAAAGTTCTATGTTTGATATAAAGGCGACTATAAGGTTTTGATCGACCCACACGATATATGTAGGTTCGTAGAGGAAGACTTCTTCTATCTAGTAGTGTATATATTATCAAATTCTGTTGCGTGTTGTGATTAGAAACACTTAATCACATCACGCATAAAACGTTCAATAGTAGTGTAGATCGAATATTATTTCTCTGGGAAAAAAGTTCAATCTGACAAAGTTTTCTCACTTATTAATTCTTGTTACTGCTCTTGCGGCTATGTATCGACAAACTTTCAGACATTTTTTATCCTTGAAATTCGGTAAGGTATCTCCCCTCTTTTTTGACCTTATTGGCAAAAGGTGGAAGCGATTAACTTCAAAGGCGACTATAAATTTCCGACTGAGTTTTGACCGACCAACGCGATATATGTAGGTTTGTAGAGGAAGACTTCTTCCATCTAGTGGTGTATATATTATCAAATTCTGTTGCGTACCGTGAGAGAAAATTAAAGGTAATCCCTCTTTTTTTCCCTTTTTTTTACTTTTGAAACTGTTTTCTCTTTCATTCAGTGTTTGATAAACTTTTGAAACAGTCAGTCTTGTAGAGTAAAGATGTTTCTACAAAATAAGATGTATCCCAGCTCTTCACCATGTTTTCTGGTTATAATCATTTTGTTGGAAGTCTTTGAAAACGTCACATTTGTGATATAACGTCCAATGATCATAACTCTACCAGAAAACATGGTGAAGAGCTGGGATAAATAAATAAATAATAGAATAAAGAGAGAGTAAAATAAGTAATAGAGAATAAAGTAACAAACTTAAAAAATTTCGTATCTTCTCAACGGAAGGCCCTGGAGAACTGGAAGTGATCTTATTTTGTAGATAACAATTTACTCTATAATTCATAATATTTAACTCAAAAATAAAAAATATTTCTAAAAAAGTCGAAAAAAAGAGGGATTACCTTTAATTTTCTCTCACGATACGCAACAGAATTTGATAATATATACACCACTAGATGGAAGAAGTCTTCCTCTACAAACCTACATATATCGCGTTGGTCGGTCAAAACTCAGTCGGAAATTTATAGTCGCCTTTGAAGTTAATCGCTTCCACCTTTTGCCAATAAGGTCAAAAAAGAGGGGAGATACCTTACCGAATTTCAAGGATAAAAAATGTCTGAAAGTTTGTCGATACATAGCCGCAAGAGCAGTAACAAGAATTAATAAGTGAGAAAACTTTGTCAGATTGAACTTTTTTCCCAGAGAAATAATATTCAATCTACACTACTATTGAACGTTTTATGCGTGATGTGATTAAGTGTTTCTAATCAAAAGTTAAGTTACATCTCTGCAGTCCCTGCTGTTATTCGTATCAATAGGGCTTAAGCTAATTTTTCATAAATTTTTATGGAAAAGAGTAACACCTTGTAAAATAACTCCTTGAACTATGTAATGGCAATTTGCCGATTTAGTTCGAGGGTCATCAGGATTTCTTTATCTTTAAATAGTTTAAACCAAACTAATTTTTCAGCTATTTTAAATAATTTATCAGTTTCATTCTTCTAGTAGGTGCCCATTGTTATTATTTTAAAACGAAAAAAATAAAAAGGAAAATAATTACCAAGAGAAGAAACATTTCACATGCTTGTCTCGTCAAACTGAATTATCCTAACATAATGTTGCACTCGAGTGCAACGTTATGTAGAATAATCTGGATCCAGATTATTCTAGAAAGATTTAGTGTATTTTTCAATTTCAATTCATTTTGTTAGAATACTTTATATGCTATTATTAGTTGCAGAGTATGCAGTATAGAATGAATAAAAGAGCTGAAACAGCTTCTTTAAGCCATCAAAATTGATCAAAATCTAATTTTTTTTTTGCCATTAACTTGTCGTCAATCGACTATGCGAAGCCTTACTATTGGCAATCAAAATTAAATCAGTAAATGATTTGAATCCATAAACTAAACAATAAATTACTAATAAAATTAACACGTACTACTTACGACAAAACGAATGTTGCTCACATGTAGTTTGCATACTCAATTGTTTCAACATTTTATGGTATATTTATTTGTAAATAATGTAGATTATCCTTCAATTGTGTTTAAAAACACAAAAATTTTAAGATTTTAAACAAAGAAATGATTTTTATTCGATTGAATGAATAATCATTCTATTGTCTTGTAACTGTGGGCTTCAAGAAAATCATAGGAAAACATATCACAAAATTCTGGGCAAAAAGATAGATTTATTTTTCATTATTCGATCTCTGAAGAAGAGTTAGCTCACTCCACTCTTTATCAGCGAGGCGAAAAAGAAGAGTATAATCTGAATTTGCATAGATTTTTGATTTATCCTATTAGAATTTGAGATATTTGTTTTGGCGTTATCTCTTTTATTATAATCTGTGGTTGATGTTGTCTGAAGGCAGAGATGGGCGAGTCACCACTTTTTCGAGTCTGAGTCGAGTCAGTAGCCTTCGAGTCGAGGTCCGAGTCGCATCAAAAATTGACTCGAGTCATTTTCTAGAAGAAAACTTCCTCCTGATTCATTTTTCCAAGAACAGATAGATCTTCAATCCTCTCATGTGACGCAATATTCTACTTAGAATATTCTCAAATCTCTCTCTCTTCTACTATACAACAAATATAATAAACATCGTAATAACAACTCCAAGTTGCACATAACTGACTCGAAAGTGACTCAAGTCAGTTTATCAAGTTTATCGAGTCTTTCACCTCGAGTCCGAGTTCGAGTCTGAGTCATAGAAAAATGCGACTCGAGTCCACTCGGACTCACCCATCTCTGTCTGAAGGTATGTTGTCCACGACTTAAACCTTCTTTCGTTTAGCACATACATGCAAGACATAATTTAACCTCACTGTAAGTCAAACTTGCGCCGATCCTGTAAGCCCGAGAGCAGATAATGTTGTGTTGAACCAGTTTCTGTCCCGTAAATGTTTTGTCTGTTGAGATAAACCGTAACTGTTACAAGAGACGCTTAAAGTCTCAAACTTATTTTTGCAAAATCCGCGTGACAAAATTCAAGCCTAATTTATTTGATTCTAAACTTCAAAGTTGTTGTATAAAAAAATGTTTTTCATCCACTCATTACCCTAGAATCGAAAAGAAAGAACTGTAAACCGAGTTTTAGGTGTGAAACATCTTAAATTCAAATTTAAGAGACTATTTCGCCTCGCCTCTCCAGGTTAATTTTTATTAGTTATTATAACAATACGGTTTTGATTTGATAGTATTACAAGAATTAAACATTTGAAGTTGCAGCATAAGGAAAACATTTTTCTGCGACTTGTCTCGACCCCGTAAGCCCAAGCCGGTAAAGTTATTTTTTGTCCCGAGCCTGTCTGTCTCGCGGAACGAGATTCAGAACTGCTCCGCAGGACTCTACTTCACTGTCTTAGTTTATAGCTCAATATGTCCACATCACACGGTGCTTTTACTATTCTTATTTATTTATTTTATTTATTGATCCTCTGCACGATCAATTAACGGTTTTATGATCTCGTTTTTTGATATATAAGAAGAAAATAAATGATAAAAAAGAAAAATATTTTAATTCATCTAAAAACACACACCCATATGAAAGAGCATTTTAGATTCTAAAACTCATTCTTAAGATTGATCAATATCAACGGCTCTGGATTTAAATATTTGTCTTACCGAAGACTGTATCGTTGTCTTTAACGTTCTTAAGTTTTGAGTAAAATCAAGAAAATATTCTACAATCGTTTAGATATGAGTACAATGAGTGCAATAGCCAATCCTAATGATACTAAAATATGAAATCCAAGAAGAAAATATTGCAACGTAGTTTTAAGTCGACTAGTTTGTGACCCTGGGTGTACAGTCGGATAATCCATGTCGAATTCAATAGATAACGGTTCTTCAAATCCTTTCTTTTTGAAAAAAAATTCCAACGCTTCAAACGCAACAAATACTAATACAACCCATCCTGTCCACGCACCCATAATCGCTTTATTAGAAGTTGTAGCACTATTTG